GTCCAAAAAATACAACAGGAAAATTCTATTGTCCAGAAAATGAAATTGAATTTATTAATCCATTCGATAATAGATATGTCGAAGGCGACGCTTGGCATTATCGATTTTTTGTACCACATAAAAATCCATTAGAATATGATGTGAACAGTGAAAGCATATGAAATTAACACGAATGAATTTAATCGTTGAGATCCAACAAGAATAATATGTGACTGTAAATTTCACTGCAATTTTAAGAAAATACCACACGATGAGTTTATTCCATTTCTGGTCAAGTAATTTCAAGCATCATTGATGACTTCAATGTTTATGTGCTAATCATATGAATATGATTGATATTTTTCTTTCCTTGTGCTATCAGCTACAGAAGAAACTGCTATCAATTAAACGAGCATACCCTTCGCTTCGCCCTTCATATGTTCTCTATTTCGACTGAATACTATTCTCTAATTAAACTCATGTATCGATTCGAGATAATTGACTAGATTACTAATGCAAGTTTAATAAATTGTAAGGATCTATTTCAGAAGCTTAAAATATTATGCTCGGTAAATAAATATTTGTTTCAGTTTTTGTTCAAAATCAAATTTCCTTTCATCCATTATCAATCGCTAAGATCGTTTGATAATCAGAATAGAAAAAAATAAACGTGTCAAATAAAGTATTCACATTGTTCATGCGATAGAATTCTAGAGTATGTGTGATTTCACCTATTCTCATGTAGAGAAAAGAAAAAGTTTAGATGAGTATGTCTACAGATAATAGTAAAGATAATAGGATCAATGCCCACTACAGTAGGAGATAACTTATCGATTCAAATGACATTCGAACTCAACACATTTTCTTTTGATTCAAAATAATCATAGAAAATGATTAATGAATCATTGGATTGGTTTTTTTTTCGTCTTCAAGCAGCATTCATTGACGTTCTGAAAATGATATTATAAGCGAATAATTTCAAATACATCACGTCTGATTGAATTATTTGGCGGCCGAGATAATTTTATTGAAGAATTAAATTCATTTTTTCAACGTGG